TGGTTTGTGATTCGAAATTTCATGTCATCTTTCACAGTGAACTTTTTTCGAGTCTTATTTATTTATTGATTATTTGTTTATTTACTTATTATTTATTTATTTATTTCATTTTTGCTCCCTACTTACAGGTACTTCTTCCGATATATCCGTAACAACTGAACCTGCCGCCCTCGAACTAGCTATCACGCGAGGAGGCATACGCCATATTATCGTCTGTGGGCACTCAGATTGCAAGGTGGCAATGAGGCTGATAGATGGTCGATCGATCAACGAGTCAATCTTCTAATCAATAAATTAAGGAGTAATCATGAAAATTAGAGCGATGCATAGCGAAAAATGTATTTAGGTGGGAAGGGAAGGGAACGTAAGGTAAATTTCGGCTACGTACGCTACTGTGTGCGATTTGTGTCTCAATGTATTCATGTACGTGCAGTTCTTTGCCGATGGGAGACTTCGCACGTGCATGGATTCTGCCGCTCAAGATGCCGCGCGAAAAAATCGCACGTTGTCGCGTTCGCAGCCAAATTGCACCATAGGACACTTATAGTGAACATGCTTGTATCATCGTTCTCTCCTTATCGGGAACGGAAATATATTTCATAGGTTGTAGGGTCAACATTTTTGACAATTCACAATTAATTTTTAGGCCATGAATTTGCTTCATTCACTTCATCAGTGTCCAAAGAATTTCGACATGGAGTCGCCAATGGATCATTGGGTTCGGCGTAATGGATTTCGCAGCATGAAACGGTTTATTTATCTTATTTGTTTATGTTTATATATTTATCAATAATTTTATTCCCCAACCCTTCTATTCCGAGAATCAGCAAAATGTGAGCCACCAGAAAAACTGGGCGAAAAGGCTCAGGGTATGTGGTCAGCACGTGTGATGGTAATCTACCCTCTCGCATAGTACTCGGTATAATCGTGATACTGACCTTGAGTGCGACTCCAGTGCCAATTCAATGAGATAACTTGCTATTCGGAAAAGGAAATTGTCTAGCATTGACAATGACTTTCGCTCACACGGATTCATTCGGTGATAGAGCAAGATACGTGGCGTCATGCCCGATCCGCTTACAGCGAGCGACGTTTTCTTGCTAGTTGTCTTGCGACAACTCTTGGTTGACTGCGTAGGTCGGTTGGCACCTCACGCCGGTCGGGTTAAAGACTGTAATCTGTGGTAGGGGTGATGGGTGACGTTGGATGACAATTATGGTTGGTGGGGTGAGGGACGAAGGCAACAAAACCATCGCACACCCGATGCCTAACTGATGAAACTTAGCATGTGCTACCAGGTTTGAAGGACTCTCTAATCGATGTAGGAAAGGGGATGAAAAAAGAGAGTGGAGCGGGGGAGGGGAGAGGGGAGGATGGCATGTATTAAATTGAGGAATGATGAGTCAGATGTCCAGTGATCTCGTGCCAGATTCGCCTAAATAATTCTTAGTTTTCAGCCTGAACGAGCGACTCCACAAAGGTGGCACAGTATTGAAATTCGGAACTAAAGTAGCTCCTAGTCAAGATTTTGAGGCTATAGTGGACCCACTGGACAAACTTCCTGTAGAAGACAAACTGTCACAGGTTTCCTTTGCTTTCGATTCAGGTTTCTTTTAGGCTAATTGTTCCACTAGTTGTTCTTCTCCTTTGGTGTCCTCCATCCCTCTAAACTTCTTGGAATGTGTCAGCCTTATGATTGCTTACCTTGAGCAGCTTGAAGTGTTGTGATCCCCTCATTACTTAAGGAGATTAATTATGTAATATGGGAATGTTGAAAAAGGGTACTTGAGCTTCAAACTTCATCTTTTAGCTCTGTTCATTGCTGGACCGATTCGATTTTTCCAGTTATCGGAGGGGAGTACCTGTAATAGCGCTGCAATCCCACGCGTCGCGCGCTTCTTATTGGCGGATTATTCGCCAGCCAATCATAGACGTTCAGGCTGCGCAACTAGATGAATTTCACGGACTCTGCTACCCTCACGGTGTGGGTCTAGTTAAGAAATGCTCTAAAATGTTCTATTCATTTCACTGTTTTCTGTTAGATTTTCAAAGGTAACTCGAGCGTTTCTTCGAAGTCATCTAAGAAGGCAAAAAAAAAACATCTGTGTACAACTTTGTGAGACGCAAAACTGGGAAGTAAAAATTCACACTTAAGAACTGAAAATCTACGATCTTTTCTGTAATTTCATCGGAATTAACTTTTTTCTATTCCAGATAAACGTCTTGCAACAGCTAGAGAACATTGCATCCCATGAATTCTTGAAGGAACATTTTGAATCAGGTAGGTTGTGGCAGCATCCTTTTTTCATTATACAAAGCATGGTGTTAGAAAGTTTATCGCAGTCAGAGTGCAAGATAGCCTAGATTGTTCTTGCAAATTCTGGAAACTGCCATAAAGTACTATAAATGGAAGCTACTCAGTAATAGGCCCGGAAATATATATGGATATTTTGCGATATGGCTGTTGGTTGACCATATTGAGGCTAACTTCAGGCTTCTTATTCCGGGTACTAGAGCGTTGGAACGATTCATGCACAGAACCGCTTGAAAGGTGCCTCAAATCCAAATTTTTGTCACAAATTTCGATGGGTTTCAGTGGTGGAGTGGCAGGATCGGGCTCATAATTAGCAAATGTCGATCATGGGGAGAAAGTTCGGCATTATAGAGTCAAATTAGAAGGGGAGATGGAGCTGGGCATGTTATGGGCAAGCAAGACATGAATGTCTTTACATAGCGATTCAACGGAAACTTCCAGAATGTTCCAGAAATATCTGTACTTTCTCAAAAGTAGTCAGATACCTTCCGAACGATCTGTTCATTCTCATATCTTCTACCGATTTGTTCATTCTAGAGGCCCAGCCCCATGTTGTCGAGCCTTTTTGAATAGATGTACCGAAAAAGAAGAAAAGGGTTCCCTTGAACTTGGAGCCATAGCGGCATCACTACAAACCCACTGGTCAACTGCTAATTCAGGTAACCTATTCGTTCATGGGATGTGGTTCGACATCTACAACGGTGACGACTACCTCTTCTCCAGAGATAAAAAACGCTTCGTCCTGATAGATGTTAGTTTTCGATGAGTGCCTACTTGTTTACCTTTTAATACTAGGAATTGATTTCAATCGTTCAGGAAGGAACAGTTTCCAATCTCAAGGCAGAACTGGAATATCGTTGTGGACGACCATCATCAGATCAAGCTGACGAGACAGTTAGATCAGCAATTCTTACTAATCCCTGATATATTACTCTAATAAACTTACTAACTAATAAATCATAGCTCAGAGCTTTAGTGCTACATTTCACTTTCTATAAATGGCTGCGAGTAGGTGGCTTTTGGCTCCTTTGATGGTGTTACCTCGCATCCTCGTAAAGGCAGCTTGGAGGGTTTCCGCTTTCCAGAGGGTAATTTCTCATACCTTGATGATGTCAAGGTAAAAGGGGGCGGACGCAAGGTGCCGATCGCTTCTTCTAGGCCCTGCAATGCGATGTGCAAGGACGAAATATTCTTTCGGAGCCAGTTTATGTTCCCTGGCACTATTTTCACCAACTGGCTCACCTAAAGACAGCAAGACCTTTTAAGAAGACCTTCAGCTCCTTCCACCAAAGCGTATTCAGCCCATGTTGCTATTCTACGCAACTGAGTAGTTCTGGATCTGGCATCTTCACCCCGAACGACGTGTTGCGCTGTGAAGGGGGAGTTTTGTATTCCCAATAGAAGGATACGAAGAGTCGCTGCGGAGTTACTGCCGCAGGTCGTGGGAATTCGGGGAGAAGTTCCGTTACTCAGTAGTTCTTTCAAAGGTTACTAGTTGCCTAACGATAACCGTAGAGGAAACTACCCTTCAAATGCGTGCAGCAGTGTTGTGGGAGGAGATTCGCTCTCCTTTTCATTCTCCTCATTGGTCGGTCGCGCAGCCATACGTTTATCGTCGCATGAGCTTTCTACTATGTAAATGAAAAAATAACTTACGCTGTCGAGTCCATGCTGTGTCAGCTCTATATTTTTTTCAGCAAGCATGATGGGACTACTTGTACCACCGATATAAGTACCGACAAAAAAAAAAAAACGAACTGAAGGCTGCAATGTTTACAGCAAATTTCTATTACCTGTTGAGGAGGAAACGTAATTTCAGTAGCTGGTGCTCGTCTGCAACAGTTTCGTGCAGCAGAGACACGGCAACGTGAGTGATTGTGAAAGATTATACGATTCCTGTAGATCTGGTCCTGTTTTGTGTTTAGTTATTCCTGTACAATAGTATCATCGTTACGCATTAAGTAGAGGAACTATCGTTGATATTGTCTAAACTGGTCAAAATTTGCGGCAGTACCATTACTATTAGAAAATTTGGTTATCATTAAAAAATCAACATTGTGGTGCTTTTTTCTCGGTTTCTATTGTAACTGTGTTTGAAAGCTATGGGTGGGAGCTGATATTTCGAAGCCGACCAGAGTTAATCTCACTTTCAGATTTGCCAGAGAACCATTTGTATTGAATTACATGCATGGCCTAAGTTCTAGTACCACATACTAGCGTTTCAATACCGTAAATCTCAAATCTCACCCGTAATTCTGGAACAACCAATTCACAGTAGCGACAATAATGGTTATAATAACAATGATAAGCAGTATTAGACAGTGATAAGTAAGTTATTGATAAGTAATGTAATGGTGAAGCAGGACCATATCTGCACGGAGCAAACAAGTTTTGCCCCTTTGTTGTATATTTCCAAGGCCTAATATTCATTTCGATCAGAGCTCCTTGAATATTGCCATTCCATTGAGTCGAACTCATTCTTCATAGCAGCAGTGACAGTTCTGTTAATAATAATGGTAATTATTAGTAGGGCAAAGTAACGGGTGAAGGTTGGCTCATATACGTACCCTAACCACCACTACGATTCTGAGTGTAAGTCAGATGCGAGGCGAATCCTAGACCGGAACTGAACAACGCCAAGAGATTTCCATACTTTGAATCAAAGTCCGTCTAAGATTACGAGGTAAAATCCAAGCATATTAATGTCTAACATAGACACTGTTGGCTTCATTCTGTCGATCATTTGATCTTGTGATGTTTCTTTTTTGGAGTCTTCGTTCCGTTATGTAACTACTGCTTATTTTTAGAGCATTCCGTTCGCCGTCCATCAGCTATCAGCTAATTTCTCGCTTTTCTTCGCCATACCATTCCATTGAATCATCGCCGTTCATTTTCGATTGCAATTTTCGGTTTTATATGCTTTCCACTTGCCTTATCATATAATGACATCATACAGAACCATTGAACATGTGATCATTTAACAGATAGTAGAAGGACTGATGACAGATATTTTTTATTCTATAGGAGATAAAAAATGATATATGGAGATAGTTCCGAGTAATTCAAAATATAAGTCATCAATTCATAGGAACTGTTGAGTTGTCCATTGAAACGTTTTTTTCTCATCGTCTACAATCCTTCGTTAACTCTATGTGCTACTAATTAATGAGAGCGGAAGTGGTGTAGTGGTAAGAGGTGCTCTATCATACACGCGTGGTAACGGGTTCGAATCCAGGCTTGACGCCTACCGAAAGCAGGTTCGATTAGTCCTGAAAGACATTTTGTCCTTCATGTGGTTCTGAATGATAAGTGGGGAGGGGTCATACTGTTTTTCTTATCACAGAAACTACTTACTACTTATAGGAATTACTTCACTCGAGTACTCTATCATCTCAGCCTTTCCTTCTTGACGGGCCTCACAACG